ATGGTGGAGGAGGCATCACAGTTTCATCTGGAGATGATGATGAAATGTGTATTGCTGGAGTAATTTCTTTATCCAACTTTGAGGAGCAGGAAGCAAGGGTCTCCTCTCAAGAATCAGGGGGTCTAGAAAGGGAAGCTGAGGAAGATTGCCTTCCAGGGGGATAGAGGAAAAGAATAGAATTAGAATAGAATTAATGGAGATATCCCATCTCCTAGAACTGGAAGGGACCTTGAAAGGTCATCGAGTCCAGCCCCCTGCCTTCACTAGCAGGACCAAGTACTGATTTTGCTCCAGATCTCTAAGTGGCTCCCTCAAGGATTGAACTCACAACCCTGGGTTTAGCAGGCCAATGCTCAAACCACTGAGCTATCCCTCCCCCCGAGGAAGGCTCTCAAGGTCGTAGAAAACTGGGTCTATGGGCTGCCCAAGGGTAACAATACCGCCACTGGAGTGGTGGAACCCAAGTGTGTCCATACCAAGTCAGTGGGGGCCTTGTCTGTCATATTTGTAATGTGGTTGTCATAACCGTCGATCCCACAATTTGAGGATGATCTCTACCACAGATTTACATATGCGTCCTGAGATGCCTCAGGAGTCCGTTCCTGGAACCACAGATCAGCCCACAGTAGGTACAGAGGGGGTGGATGGGGCAGGAAGAGGCAGGGCGGGCTTGGGAGAAGGGGTGGAGTGGGGGTGGGCCAGAGCTTCCCCCAGCACATTAGGAAGTTGGCGCCTCTGGCTAATATAATCCTGGGATGTATAAACAAGGGACTCTTGAGTAGGAACAGAGGTTATATTACCTCTGTATTTGGCACTGCTGCAATACTGCGACCTCTGCAGTAACAGCATGTCCATTTCTTCTGTCCACAATTCAAGACAAATGTTGATAAACTGGAGAGGGTTCAAAGAAGAGTCATGAGAACGATTAAGGATTGGAAAACTTGTCTTATAGTGGCTGAGCTCCCTGAGTCTATTTTGCTTAAAAGGAGGGAAGGGAAAAAAAAAAAGGTTAAGGGATGATCTGATCACAGATTAGGATAACGGGCTCTTCAATCTAGCAGGAAAAGGCATAAAAAGATCCAATCATTATAATCTGAAGCTAGAGAAATTCAAAATGGAAATAAGTTGTAAATTTTTAACAGTGATAATTGATCACTGAAACAGATTACCAGAGATTGTGATTAAAATTTTCCAGTGACAGAGAATCCAAGCATCACTGGATGTTTTTTCTAAACCATATGCTCTAGCTCAAACAGAAATTATTTTGAGAAAGTTCTATGGTCTGAGTTATGCATGAGGTCAAACTAGATGATCACAGTGGTCCCTTCTGGATTTAATGTGCATGAATCACTAAAGTAGAGGCAAAAGGTGGGGAAGATTTGAGGAGTAAGTTAAAAAAGTAGAAAAAAAGTGTCTGGGATTGTGGATGTGGGATTCAGCTAAATTGAAGAAGTATAAAGAACAGGAGTACTTGTGGCACCTTAGAGACTACTGTTCTTTTTGCGGATACAGACTAACACGGCTGCTACTCTGAAGAAGTATAGTTGCTTAGCTTGGAAGATTATAGAACTGAAAGAGGAAAGAATGATTTTCCACCATTACAAAGTCAATCTGGTCCTAGGATTTTCACAAGAGAAGCTCTGCAGTGTTAGAGCAGGAACAGAGGAAGCAGATGTTGGGAATGAGACAGCGCTAAGGGTTGGCAAGGCAGACATTGCACTGGGAAAGAAGTGCAAAAGAGTTAAGGGTGGAGGAGAATGAAGCATGGGGAGAACCAATAAACATATCATGGGAAGAGAGGGCAGGGAGGAGAAGGCTGAGAGCAGATGAGAAAATCAATGCTGATGGATTGGAAGTTGTGTAAAAGCCAAGTGACAGGCAAGGGAGGTTGATATGTGATGGTGAATGAGATCAGGTGATGGTCAGAGAGGTGGAACTTGACAACAGAGAGAGAGCAGTGCTAGAGGAAGAGCAAGTTAAGTGAACAAGCTCTTTGGTGAATGGGAGACTTGAACCATGGCTGCAGGTTGAAAGAAGAGGTGAAGATGAGGAAACATGCAGCTAAAGGGGTCAAATGAGTCATCAACATGGAAGCTGAAGTCACCAAAGAAGAGTGTGTGAGAGTTTATGAGGAGAGGAAAAGAGAGAGAGAGCCAGGAGTCAAAAATCACAGAGGAATGTTGATGAGGAGGATGTGGGTGGATGACAGCAACACAAGAACATAAGAATGGCCGTACTGGATCAGACCAATGGTCCATCTACCCCAGTACTCTGTCTTTCAACAGTGGCCAATTCCCAGATGCTTCAAAGGGAATGAACAGAACAGAGCAATTATCAAATGGAGTCATCCAATCCAGCATCTGGCAGTCAGAGGCTTAGGGGCACCCAGCGCATGCAGTTGCGCCCCCTGACCATCTTGGCTAGTAGTCATTGATGGATCTATCCTCCATGAGCTTATCTAATTCTTTTTTGAACTCAGTTATACTTTTGACCTTCACAACATCCCCTGGCAATGAGTTCCACAGATTGACTGTGCATGTGTGGAGAACTTCTTCCTTTCACTTGTTTTAAACCAGATACCTATTAATGTCTTTGGGTGACCCCTGGGTTTGTGTGTTAAGTGAAGGAGTAAATAACACTTCCTTATTTACTTTCTCCACACCATTCATGATTTTATAGACCTCTATCATATCCTCTCCCCATCATTCTTTTCAAAGCTAAACAGTACCAGTTTTTTTAGTCTCTCCTCATATGGAAACTTTTTTATACCTCTAATCATTTTGGTTGCCCTTCTCTGTTACCTTTTCCATGTCTAATATAGCTTTTTAGACATGTGGTGACCAGAAGTGCATGCAGTATTCGAGGTTTTTAGCATACCATGGATTTTAGTGGCATTATGATATTTACTGTTTCATTATCCCATTTCTAATTGTTCCTAACACAATTAGCCTTTTTGACTGCCACTGCACATGGAGCAGATGTTTTCAGAGAACTATCCACAAGGACTCCAAGATCTTTCGTGAGTGGTAACAGCTAATTTAGACCCCATCATTCTGTATACTTTCCAATATGTAATACTTTACATTTATCAACATGGAATTTGATCTGCCATTTTGTTGCCCCAGTCACCCAGTTTAGTGAGATTCCTTTGGAACTCTTTACAGTCTGTTCAGACTTCACTATCTTGAATAATTTTGTATCATCTGCAAACTTTGCCACCTCACTATTAACCCCTTTTTCCAGATCTTTATGAATATGTTGAACAGCACTGGCCCCAATACAGATCCCTGGGGACACCATTATCTACCTCTCTTCATTCTGAAAACTTACCATTTATTGCTACCCTTTGTTTCCTGTCTTTTAACCAGTTACTGATTCACAAACTCCTCTTAGCCAAACTGAAAGGGCACTTCTTCATTCTTCTTGATTTATCCACCACTTTTGACATTCAAGTATCTAACACTCCTCCTTTTCCTCTTTTCTCATATTTTACAACTCCTGGTTTCTCTTTCTGCATTTCCTTTAATATTATCCATCCATTAAGAAGCATCATGATATCTGTTTCACTCAGACTCAGGACACTAAACATATAAACCAGCATGCACAAAAGGTAAATCATTGAGAAATACAAAGCTTTTTAAAGAGTTACCAGCCATGAAATATGTAGATTTTTCAGAAAAGTGTGCATATTTAGGAAGTAAAACAATCTTCTTTTCTCCACTCTAAGTTTGCTTAGCTATAGCTAATACGTTTTACATAGACCTTGCAATTTATATTTCAAGTTATTTACACGGAGTTTATTGACTCGTGAAGTGTTAGTACGCCTAGGTTTTTGTTTGTTGAACTAACTTATAAAACATTTTCAAGGCATGAAAAAAATACTTTAACAATAGTTACTATTAGTCTGGATTCTCTCCCTAATTGAGTAGCGTCCAGCCTTTTCAGCCTGGGGGCTGAACATTATTTCAGAAAGTTTAAGGGGCCCCAACCAATATTTAAGGGCATATACTCTGTCCTGTTCTACTCCCATTAAGTTGCCTATGCAGTGCAAAGGGAACAAACACCTGACAGTTCCCTACTGAGAATTCCCCTGATATGGGGAAGTTCACATCAGGCACAGAGACAGGTCTAATCACCAACTCCCACACCACATTCCATTTTTGACTCACCCCTCTACCTTAGGGGGTGAAAGGAGAGGGAACATGGCTAAAGTGCAATGTACTCAAACTCCCCCAGCTGGCATACGGTCCCTAAGACTCAGCTGGTGATAGAGCAGCCCCCAGTTGCTCTAACCTGGACTCGAACAAAGAACCAGGTAATCAGTTGTTGATGCTCAACTTCCTCCCCACCCCCAGTCTGTTGGACTGCTACTAGTTGAGTCTTGTTTCAAAGTTAGGCTGTAATCTCTTCAGGGCAGGATTCAAATCTTCCTACTTCTTTGTACAGCCCCTTAGTACAATGAGGTTTCAACTCCAAGTGGGGTTTTTGGGTGCTATTACAAAACAATTACTACAGTTAAATAAAAAACAAATCCATCCCTTAGTCTCCTGCTTCAAGATGCTGCTCCATGAAGAATATAAAGCTACAAAGACATTTTGCCATTCTCTTTTGTACGAAGCTAAGCTCTTCAGTGCAGGGATTCTTACTTGTTTGATACATCATATACTACACTTTTGCAGTGTTACAGAAATACCATTTCAACCACTGATAGTTTAGTTTTTTTATTTGAGTTCACCTTTTAAAAACTGAGATCTAAATTGAAATTCACAATAATATGACAGCATTTATTGCATAATTCAGTCCACACAAAAGGCCAGATTCAGCTTTCATACACACCTGTATAAATACAGAGAAATCCTATTGATATCAATGGATATACTACATATTTACATAGGTGTGATTATAGAATTTGGCACAGACATGTTCAAAGCAGTTTTTTATTAAAAAATATAAAGACTTACTTCCTAGTTTAAAGTAAATGAAACGCTAAGGATACCTACCCACCAAATGAGGCCGAGGTAATCTAATAGGGTCAATTTCTATCTTCTGAAAATGAGGGGGGTATTCTTTTCTGGAAAAAAAAATTAATATAGTTGTAGTCTTGACAGAAATTGTAATGTATTGTGACACTGTTATACATTTCACCAAACCCAGAAATATGAATTTTAGCACTCTGAATATGTATATATTTGAATTAAGAAAGTTAACAGCTTTTCCTATTATGTACTACACACACTGAAATCTGTTTTTCATTGTTCTGATACAGACAAATTAATAACCTAAATCTGACTGCCAGAGTACTAGCTACACTCATCTAAGTGTTTCCAACCTCAATTCCCTTTTTCAGCGGCTAAAAACTTGGGATCTTTCACATTTCAGGATGAAATTTTCCAGGCCCAGTATCTGCCTGAAAGTCCCCCCCCGCCCCGCCCCTTTAAAATTTACCTTAAAAAAGACTGATCCATTTTTTAGAATGACAGTGACTAAGAACACATTTCCTATTACCAAGACATTTTTCTTTTTCTTTAAGACATCTAGTGCCCAAACAGGCAGAAATAAGAAAACTGAACTTCGTAGAGGAACAGTTCCTGTTTCTTTGTAAAAACATTGTAATTTGGCCAAATTAGAAAGGTATGAAAATGTTAAAATGTAAAATATGCAATTTAAAATATATATTACCCAAGCACTTTAATAACAATTCCTCAGTCTTCTGAAAGAGAGATAGCTGCAGTTCACATGTGCAAGTGTCAATTTTTTGTGCTGACTAAATAAAACCTGATTGATGTTTACTGAACATTAATTACTACTCAGAGGAGGTATGGGTGGCTACTACTTATTTTTTTTCCCCGTGATTATTTTTAGAAACAAGCATGCAACCTCTGAAAAGTCACAACATTTTCCATGTGAAAAGATAAATGTGTATGTGCTATCCTAACTTTGGCATTTCTTCACTTTAAAATATTTTACCACTTTGTCTACTTTTTTTTATATTGCAGAAGCTGCTGTTAAACAGAATGGGAAGAATTCTGTATATTCTATACACAAAAATGATGAAATGTACATTTACTCAGCTTGTACTAACAGTACAGCTCCACTAAGGTGCTGATGAGTTAGCTAGAGGTTTCTGGTACTGGATGGGGAAACTGAAGAAAAATTATAAAGGTGCTGGCTGTGACACACTAAGCTTGCATTCTGAAATGAGCTTAGTATGTAGCATAAATTCCCTTCCCCTTGCTCACCCCGGTCAATTTTTCAATGTGGGAAATTTACCAAAGTGCAAATTTATTATGTCCTTTGAATTTTATATATAGTTTGTTTGGTTCTAAATAATAAATGCTTACTTGCAAGTGTCTGAAATTTGTCTCTGGCTGAATTTTTTTCAGGGTTTCTATTGTTGTCTAACACAGTTTATCTACAATGCCTTCTGGCACCCTTTTTACCAAACAACTCCACCAAACATCCATATCTTATAGTGTTGGGTGGTGGCAGTTTGATGATAGCGTTATGCAGTAGGGATGGTTGAGGGAGTAGTTTGATAAGATCATGGTATGTAGCATATGGATGCTGTGATAATATAGGATTTGGGCATGGGGGTGGAAGAGGAGAACATGTAATGGTATGTGCCTTAACTTTTTATTTCTTTGCTTCTGTGTCTGTAACAAGTATGTTTGTGTAGCAACTCTGTTTCAAAGTTTGTGCTTTAATATGCATGTAAACTGAACCAAAAAAGTAAGTTTTACACATTTATAAAAAATGTGTGGGTTTTTTGTTTGATTTGTTTTGGTAGAAATTAAAAAGGCAAAAGATTCACAGCATAACCAAAACAGTTAAGGTGTAATCCTGTAAGGCAAAAGCATATGTGAGATGTCATTAGGCATTATGTTAGCTTGCTGTACCTTGAATATTTCATTTATCCCTAACATTAGCAATAACTAGAACTATAATATATTAATGTAGTATAGGAGATATAAAAGTATAAAACAGTTTTGCTACTGGGATGATTCAAGCCTATTACCATTTTATTTTAACAATCCCCTCATCTCAACAACCAGAACATGCCTTGACTTGTGTCATATATTTGACATTACTATTTGTAAAACTATTTGATAGTCTTTGAATATCTGAATGCAACAGAGAGTACAGGCTTAGTACAAGTATTAGATACACACACACACACCCCCCTAAGAAATCAAAGATGAAGTGGCTTTTTAAGTGCTCGACCAAGCTACTTAGTTTGACAATTCAAGATCTCTGCACATAGCTAAAGCATGCCATAATAATTTTTTGGGGGGTGGGGGTGGGAATTAGATCTCTTATGCATCTTCCTTTTTCAACTTTTCTTGACCAATCTTCATACACAGTTGACAATGCACAGTAAATTCAGCAGGTGAAATAGCAATTTATCATGGCATATTCATACTTCTGATATACAAATTTTAAAATATGTATCACTGAACTCACATTTCATATCATATATTGCTAAACAACAATTAAAAGTAAGTTGAACACTAAAATGACATTCAACAGTATACTGCAGGCTCCCGAACGTAAGCTTTGCGCTTAGCTAAGTCAAGGCACCATCAAGCTTGCTCATTGTCACATTTCAAGGTACTGGACAGTTATAACAGTTATATCTAGTTTTCTGCCAATTACAACAATTACTACAAGGAACACATAACAATAGCCAAAAGCAAACATGTCCAAAACTGTATGAAGAATGAAAAAAAAAGCCCCAGATTGACAATTATGCAAAGGTGCCAGCATAAGAGGCTCTTTCCTTCTTTGCAGCACAAAAGCCTGATGGCTGTCCTTTGCTTATAATGAGAATAAAATATTGGGGAGGGAGGGGCAGGGAGAGGAAATCACTTAAAAGAATCACCTTAACCTTCTCCAAAATCCTAAGGCCAACTGTGCATATCTATCTCTTACTGAAAGCGTACAAGTGACAACTAGAGATGAGGGAGACAGGTATGAGAAAACAACATTGCATTAAGAAAACAAGAACATATTTTACATTGTACTAGTAGCACATTAAAGGATATACTTCCTAAATTTCTAACCTTCCTCAAACGGGAGACATCAGCAAAAAGGTATTCTGAAATAGCTGTTTTTTTTCTACATCCTTTTTTATTGAAGCATTTTATATTTTTCAGAAGTTTAAGAGCATAGATTTTAGCCATAAACAAAATTACAGGAGCCACCATATCTTAATTCCCAAAAGGCCCACATGGGGTATGTCTACACTGCAATAAAAAACAAACACGCACATACACTATGGCAGCAAGTCTCAGAATCCAGCTCAACTGACTCAGACTTGCAGGGCTTGAGCTGCAGGGCTAAAAATAACAGTGTAGACATTCAGGCTTGGGCTGGAGCCCAGGTTCTGAAATTCTGCAAGGGGAGGGTCTCAAAGTCCAGGCTCCAGCCCAAGCCTGAACATCTACACTGCTATTTTTTTAGCCCTGCAGCTCAAGCCAGTTGACATGAGCTCTGAGACTTGTTGCTGTGGGTTTTTTATTGGTGTGTACACATTCCCCTTGATTATGACAAACTTATGTTTCTTCATAATGAAGCTCAGCCTCAAAGAAATTTAAATGTCCCAGCTTCCATTTCTCTCCCAGTTTGTTGTGAGCTTTCAAGTTCCTGTCATATGGTTTAGACAGTTATTAACATGATGCAACATAAAGTAATCATCTCTGTCCATTGATCTTTCAGCAGAACTCAGTTAAATTTGCTGGGTCTAATGTGTGGGTTAGACCTCAGTCTTCAGGTTTAAGATTAAACAGAACTTATTACACTCGAGCTCCAAGTATTCATATTCCTCACTCTCATTTTTCCCCCCACCAAAAATATCAAGGGGAATGTTTGTGGCCATCTGTCCCATCAACAGAATTAGTTATTGGACCTTGTTTGCATTACATGCATGCCAGCAACTCCAGATCTATATCATCCATGTAAACCTCAGAATGATGACAGAATTTTTTAAAAACCGTCCTAACTATTCATTAGGCGTTTTATTTTGTTATTTTGTCTTTCACTGAAATAAAGAAAGAATGTGTTAAGATTACTGCTGGTATGTAAAGATTTGAGAAGTGCCCAAATGTATTCTTTTCAGGCCTGGCTTTCCATCTATCTCAGAAAAGTGGCATTTAAGGAACAATGACAAGAGGGCATGGCAAAAAAATCTTGAATTGCTTCAAATCAGTCTAAACAACCCTCACACACCTAAAAAGCTGTACAGGAGAATAATAAAACAATAACTGAAAGCTTTTAGAGCTGGTAAAACAAAGGTTACTTATATGACCAGGAGGATTACTTGCAGCATACTTGAATACCAGCAGATTTGGCTCCACCCCAGTAGAACAGAAAATTTTAAATAGGTGGTACATTTTCATTGTGTGGTTTCCATTTTAGTTTTTGCTCTCAACTAATCATTTAAGAACTAAACAAAATGATTGATATACAAAACACACAACTTGAAAGACATATCTTATGACCCGCCCAAGAAAGCATTCGAAATTTGTTTTATTTTTTTTTAATTTTTGAGGCAAATTCCTCCTTTCTGTTCAATCCAGTTTATAAATCTCAAGCCAGTCATCTTCAATTTTGAAGAGGCATCAAGGGCATGTCAAATAGCAGGTACAACACTCTGCTTTGAGTATAATTCCTGCAGATCCTACGGGAGGTAGCCAATGAACTGTTGCAAAAAGGAATATGCAAATTTCTCTTGATAATGGGCACCCTAAAAATAATTCTATGAGCTCCACATTTTTCTACAAGAATCATTAACAGGTTCCAGACACTGGGAACTCAATTCATTTGAGATTTTCCATTTATTTACTTATTTAACAAACGAGAACTTTGATTTCTGTTCCCTCAAGTAGAACAACCACCAATATTTGAGGGAAGCAATCCAGAGAAGAAGCAACACATGACAATAGCGGATAACATGGACTGAATATCAAGCCCTCCGTGGAACAAGGAAGACAAAATAATAGCCCACTTTGTTCAGTGGCAGGGTATGGAACATGCTGCCCCTTGGCCACTTCCTAGCCATCTAAATGATTTGTTCTTCCGGGATTACTCTCAGATTCCACGTTTCACCTCAGCCAGAAGAAAACAGTCAAGGAGGGCCCACTACTTTTAGCTTTCAAAGCATACGATTTTGGTGTGGAATTTCTGTACAAGAAGCGTAAGGCTTCCTGATGTGTTCCTGCTGTTGTAGTCACCTCTCACAGCTATGTTTCATCTCATACATAGATTAACCACTACTGTCTTGGAGATCCTACAAAGTCAGATTCTGAGCCTGAATTTCTGGCTCAGCAGCCATGTTGTTGCAGAGGAGAGAAAAGGAAGTATGGCTCACAGAACCAGACCAAGAGCCCTTATTTCTCCAAGGACTGCTCTATGATTTTTTCCACAGTGCTAGGGGGAGGGATAGCTCAGTGGTTTGAGCATTGGCCTGCTAAACCCAGGGTTGTGAGTTCAATCCTTGAGGGGGCCACTTAGGGATCTGGGGCAAAATCAGTACTTGGTCCTGCTAGTGAAGGCAGGGGGCTGGACTCGATGACCTTTCAAGGTTCCTTCCAGTTCTCGGAGATAGGATATCTCCATTAATTTTAAAAAAGCCCCTAGCAACTTTATATGTCTATGGAGCCTAGTTGCTGGTGGTGGTTCTTAGTAACATTTAACAGAGGCTGTTGCTTCACTTCTGCACAATAAATAAATAAATAAAACAAACTGGGACTGTAACCATGCACAATTTATTCTTCTGACAATCCCTACTGTGCCTGATTCAAACACTAACAGGAAAAGAACTGATTCTTAAAAATCCACATACTATAACATTGAAAAAAAACAACCATGAACATTTAAAAATTTAAAAAACAAGGAAAAGAAAAAGTTCTAATACCCCTTATGAGGTTAAAATATGAGGGCCAAGGCTGACATATCAGCATCCCTTTAAATTTTATTTTGGAAAGTAACAGAAAGTACAATATTATACTATTGATTTACAATCAATCCACTAAATCCTGAATTTCCAAAGAAAGCTACTTTAAACAGTTATGTAAATTATTTTCAATTTTAGTTCAATATTAAATGTACAGTTTAATCATAATTTAACTTTAATATCAAGCTTATATTGCCACAACAGAAAAAAATTACTTTCTCGTGGAATAAATTACATCAGATTAATAACCTGGTTGGTTTTAATAAAGTATTAGAAATGAACAAAAATATTTACATTTGTATACTTAAACTATATACAAGAATATTAACAGAAACCAGCATTTTCCAAGTGACGTGAAATATGTGACATGGCAAACTTTAGTGTTTCCACACAAATACATGAAACAGCACCACCAAATCAGTTTTAATAGTAGATTTTTTTTCTTTGCTCTGTGTTTTGGTTAATTGCTATAATTTGTATATTTAATTAATGACTATATTTAGAATGAAATTCAAACATTATTCAAAGCTACAGGATTGCTAGAAAACTAAAAAATAGCTTATTAACACTTGGTTAGAAACCAGATAGCAATAGCTCTCCAGCAATATCAAAACACTTAAAATTAATTTCCAAGTTTCCACAGAAAACGGAAGTCAATCTTTGTTTCTGTATATTTTATCTGTATATACGCACGTTTCTGTATGCCAATGTACCCAGTACATTGTCCACTTTAAAAAGGCAATCAGTGCCTATAGCTGCATATGAAAGGTACTGCTTGTATTCCATGTTCTTTTCATAAAATAGCTCACAGGCAGCAGAACTGACCATGATTTTACAAATTATTCTTTAGCTAGCATTGATAGGGTAATCATTCAGTTAACTTTCTTATTTCCATGCTCATTTCATCAACATTAAACTTACCTTTCCTTTCGGTCCAGATTGCTTAAAAATATGAAAAAAAAGAGAAAAACATAAGATGCAAAGCCCCTCATTTATTGCACATCACTCAAGTTTTAATAGTTATCAAATATAAACTACTACCAATTTGTCACTTCTTGAATTCATGTTGCAGTACTTTTCTAATTAAAAGTTTAAAATGCGGTCAATATCTTTACAGCAGTAAATACAAACATAACTAACTTTATTTCTCAAACCAGCAAAAGTCAGTGGGCAAAATTTTACACTGACATGCACTCTGTTCAATCTCATAGAATTGGATTAATTTTGAGTTAAGACTGGTAATCTGCTTTAAATCACTCCATTGTAGATGGCATGACAGAATACAAAGTTATGAATTAAGATAGAGCTTTGCTCTAACCCCACTGGACCACCACGGAAAACAAAAGTATACGGTGTGCCATTTATTTGCATTTTTATGCAGCAATCCAATCCTAACTATTCAAAATATTTTTTTAAATAATTATTTAGATTGAGAAAATGTAATATTCACAAGTGGAAAAAAAATTACATATTTTCTAGAGTCCACATGTGACCAGATACTTGAGAGAGGAAAGAGACAGAACAGCTTTCCTCATATCCAAAAGCAGGGGCTGGGAAGAAGCTCCAAATATATCAGACACTCAGGGTATGTCTGCACTGCAATTAAAAACCCGCTGACTCTTACTCACAGAGCTCAGGCCAAAGGGCTGTTTAATTGCAGAGTAGATGTTCAGGCTCTAGGTCCCTACAAAGTGGGAGGGTCCCAGATCTCAGACAGTAGTCCAAGCCAGGAAGTCTATACCAAGTTAAACAGCCCCTTAGCCCAAGCCCTGCAGGCCTGAATCAGCTGGCACAGGCCAGCCGCGGTTGTCTTACTGCCTTATGGTCTTATTTTCAGAAGTGTTTTATTTAAAGCTAATCAGAGTTGCAGGTGCTCAAAACTTCTGGAAGTCAGACCCTTAGTACACAAGGTTGATATGCAAGGTAGGGGCCCCAAAGCAGTCTAAGATATTGCCTTGAGTGCGCTCTTTTTTTCTTCCACACATACTTTTCAGTCACCAGCAACAGGGAGCTTTTCACCAGGATGTTGTCTGTGATCATATTGTCCCACCCACTTTCCATAATCCTTCATATTAACTCAGAACCCAGAATGCAACATAAGTAAGGACAGAAGAAATCTTCCTGAATGTGTAATAATGCTTCGTTTGCCTATTATATATCTTTTTAGTGCAACATGCCTAAAGAAAAAAAGGAACAACAGATAACTTTGATTTTGTGCACTACAGAAGAGAGAGAGATTCCAGAACACAGACAAGCATCAACACAGGCACTGCCTTAAGAAATTATCCCATTAAGCTCATACAATAAAATCTGGTTGAGACATGTAGCATATACATGCTATTCCAATCCTGAATCTTAGAAGGATCGGTCAAAATGGTTCAAAATTCAGCAGTGTTCATTATTTGAAATAGTAACAAGAGAACAGAGCTGAAACGAACCACAGAACTAGTTCTACTTATGATCCAATCTAGACTTAAAAATATAGGTCTTCAGAAATGACAAGCTAGGGAATTCTACAACGTAGGGCCGTCTTGAGGATTTTACTTTCAAGTTTCCATTGCTGTTTTACTTGAATCACACTTCATAGGGTGCATTAGACACTAAGGACCTTAATCTGGCACATGCACATACTATTTAGCTATATGTATGGCAAAACTAGAATAAGAGAGGACAGTGGTCAGAAGGAACCATTCTGATAAACTAGTCTGACCTCCTGTATAACACAGGACATAGAATTTCCACCAAAATTTTTTTAGAGCTTATCTTTTAGAAAAACATCCAATTCTGATCTAGTGATGGAGAATACACTATGACCCCTGGTAAATTGTTCAAATGGTAATCACTCTCACTGTAAAAAAATCTATTTCCAATCTGAATTTGTCTAGCTTCATCTTCCAGCCATAGAATTGTTTTATACCATTCTCTGCTGGATTGAAGATTCCTTTGTTAAATATTTGTTCCCCATGTAGATACATATAGACTGCAATCAAATCACCTTTTAGTTAAGCTAGATTGAGCTTCTTGAGTCTATCACTATAGGCATGTTTTCTAATCCTTTAATCAGTCTTGGGGCTCTTCTCTGAACCCTCTCCAATTTATCAACAGCCTTCTTGAATTGGGGCACCAAAAATGGGCACAGTGTTCCAGCAGCAGTCATTCCAGTGCCAAATATAGAGACAGAATAACCTATCTTCTCCTACTAGAGAGATTTCCTGTTTATACATTCCAGGATCTCATTAGCTCTTTTGCCCACAGCATCACACTGGGAGCTCATGTTCAGATGATCATCCACCACAATCTCCAAATCTTTTTCAGAATCACTGCTTCCCAGGATAGAGTCCCCCATCCTGTAAACGTGGCCTACATGCTTTGTTCCTAGATATAATACATTTATATTTAGCTATATCAATATTTATATTGTTTCCTCGCACCCAGTTTCAAAGCAAGCCAGATCGCTCTGAAGCAGTGACCTGTCCTCTTCATTATTTACCACGCCCCAACGACTGTCTCATCTGCAAATTTTATCAGTGATAATTTTGTTTTCTTCCAGGTTATTGATAAAAGTGTTAAAATAGTGTAGGGTCAAGAACCGATCCCTGTGGGACTCCACTGGGAAAAACACCCGCTTGATGACCATTTCCTGTTTACAATTACATTGAGACCAATCAGTTTGCCAGTTTCTAAAATGTGTGTCATGTTAATTTTATACTGTTCTACTTTTAACCAAAATGTCATGCAGTACAAAGTAAAATGCCTTACAGAAAGAAGTATAAGCATATAACCAACTATTATCTTTATCACACAAACTGTTCTCACCAAAAAGACAAATTAATTTGACAAGATCTATTTTCAGTAAAACATGTTTATTTGCAATAATTACATTACCTCCTTTAGTTCTTTATTAAACAAGTCCTGTATCAGCAACTCCATTGTCTTTCCCAGGATCCATATCAGGCTGACAGCCCTATGAATTACCCATGTCATCCAGTCAACCCTTTTTATACATTGGAAGAAAGCTAATGCCAGATAGCACTTCTGGACTTTCCCCAGTGCTTCAAGACTTATTGAAAACAACCTTAACTATCCTGTAAGCTGCTCTGCCAGCTCTTTTGAAACCCTTGGATAAAAGTTATCTAGATCAGCTGATTTAAAAACATTTGTCCTTATTATCTTCTGTTTAACATGCATTCCCCTGGTATTTCTGAAGGAAAGAGCAAATTCAGAACAGAAACATATATTGAACACGTCTATCTTTTGTGCATTATAATTGATAATATGATCATTTCCATCTACTAATGGACCAATACCAGGGCCAGGAGTCTTTGTTCCTAATATAATTTTTAAAACACTTTGATGTCCTTAACTCTGCAGGCCCTAGATTTCTCCTTGAGTTTCATCATTGTTCTATAATTCATAACTTTTAATTGATATTCATTACTGTCAACTTCCCCTTTCTTCCATTTGGTTATAAATTTTAATTTTTTTTTTTTTTATAGCTGTCTTCACTTCCCCTCTAAACCAAGTGGATTGTTTAACCAGCTCATCCTTCTTCCTTGATTGTGGCTTTTTTGGACATCTACTAAGGGTGTTCTTAAGTGATACCCAATCATTCACATTTTTTCTGATTAAATTCTTCCTCCCAGATTTGGCTCATAATTGTTTTCAGCATTGTGAAATGGGCCTTGATAAAGCAGCCGGTGTGCGTACACTGTGATACAGCATGGCCAGAGGGCAGCAGGAGAGGGTTAGAAGGGAGCCTTATTCCCTGTCGAGGGAAGAAAGTTTGCAATAGATTAATTAAAGCACCTGAAGCCAGTCACCTGATAAAAAAACCCTGCTTCAATCAGACAGGGGAAGGAGTTGAAGCAGAGGAAAGTTTGAAGAAGTGCTGCGGTGGGCTAAGAAGACCAAGACTCTAGGTAAAGGGACACCTGGCTTGTGCAGAGGGAGGGCAGGAAGCCCCCACAAGCTGAAGGGCAGGAGAGGGAAGTAGCCCGGGGGAAGGAACCGCTAGTTCAAGTGGTTTACCGCCATCCCTAGGGCCCCTGGGCTGGGACCCGGAGTAGAGGGCGTACCTGGGTCCCTCCCTCCCTCCCTCCCCATTCCCCACCTCTAGGACACTAGTGGGGCAGTTAATATCCCAGTTCAGGGGCAAGAAATGGCACCCTGAACCCCACCCCCAAGAAGAGAAAGCGCAAGACCCATCATAGTAGTGCCAGCAATTTGCACCCCCCTCCCCCCCACACACAAAAAGCTGCGTTATCCAGCACTTTATCAACCAGAAAGCTCTATTAACTGGCATTTCTGATATCTCCCAATACAAATCTTCAATCTAGTAACTAGTATACTGCCCAGGAGGTTATGCAATTGCACATTCTGCATTCTATTTTTGTGCAAAAGAGGCGGAAGACAAGTTAGCAAGCTGTTATCAGGGATTTTTTCAAAAAAGCATCTTCCAGGGCGTGTCATAGGGTCATTACAGATTCATCCCAATCACCTACACCTTCTACATCTACAATAATTGATGTTGATAATGATGAACCTGAGGCACCGCAAGATCCTGAAGTGCCTTCTGAATCATTGATTAAATTATATTCAATATAGTTTTAGTGTTAAGAGTATTTTTAGTGATCTGGGAGTACACCATGCACTGCCCATAGTGATATGCAGTGTCATAAAATAACCTGCTCTTTAGAAAAATTTACCTGTATACACCTAAGTGCTTCAAGAAACCAACAACTCTCCAGTGCAGTACTACTACTGGATTGATGAGTACCTGTATACTATTTTAGACTTTATTCATTTTATTGTATTCTAATTCTTTGAAAATTGGTATTCCATTGGTAAATACAACTCTTAGTTAGCTGGAATTTTTGACTAACCAGCACCTCCTATTCCCCCAACATGCTGGATAACGTATCTTTTACTGTATTGTTGGTCTG